CGCGCCCCGCCCACCTCTCTGAGGGACCGCCACTCTGGGGCGGGGAGGGGGTGAAAAAAGAGCAGCGGCGCCTCGCGACCAATCACAAACCGGACGCTTTTCCTTTCCCGCCCCCTCCCCTCGTGGAATGACCAAGACATTGGCCTTCGTCTTTCCTCCGCCCACAGAGCGGGGCTGGCCAATAGAACAGAAGAGACGGCAAGCGGGAAAGCCAATTGAAACCCGCCAAAGATTCCTTCCTCCCGCCCCTGCATTGTGTGACAGGAGACCTGACCAGTAGAATTGCCGATGAGCCCGTTGGGCGCCGGCGGGTTTTTTCGTTGACACTCACAGCCACCGCCTTCCTAGGCGCGCCAGTGGCACTACAAATCCCAGCATGCAACGCTCCAGCTGGATCCCTGGATCCTTCGGCTCAATGGGGAGCGTTGCCTGCTGGGATGTGTAGTCTCTAGTAACCTCACCTCAGCAGCTCAGGATCAGGAGCCATCGCTGAGGGCAACACTGGGAGGGGGTGGGGATGCATGAGGAGGCCATGGGTGTAATCACATGCCATTTGGGCAGCACAAGCATCGCTGGTAACTGGTAGCTCAGCTCCTAGGACCTCTCTGTCTAGAGACCCTGCTCCGGGTGGGAAAGAACCAGCTTGACTCTCGGATCCCGGGGGGACGGCGGCGGCTGGCTCCGCAGGTCCTTCGCCTCGTCACCTCAGCATCCGCAGATCCTTCGCCTCGTCACCTCAGCATCCGCAGATCCTTGCTAGTAGGCCTCTAAACAGCATAACTCCATTCTAGGATTAAGGCCTGGGAACACCACAGTCAGGATAAGAACTGCAGACAGTAAAAGCCCCTGGGCACCATAGCAACCACGTTCTAAAACACTCGAACTGGGTCTCAGTTGGTAACGTAACACATTTTGCTTAAGATAACATTCATAAAATTTGCTTAAACTGTCTTATTTGCTGTTTGCAGCCAAAGGGAGCCATGGGAAGCAGCAGCCACAGCTCCTTTTGCTATGACTGGCTAACCAGAGCCAAAGGGACCTGCAAGGCTCCGTGGCCTCAGTGCTGGTAAATTGTAGGGTAAACTGAGGCAGCCCTAAATGTGCTAGTAGGCCTCTAAACAGCATAACTCCATTCTAGGATTAAGGCCTGGGAACACCACAGTCAGGATAAGAACTGCAGACAGTAAAAGACCCTGGGCACCATAGCAACCATGTTCTAAAACACTCGGACAGGGTCTCAGTTGGTAACGTAACACATTTTGCTTAAGATAACATTCATAAAATTTGCTTAAACTGTCTTGCTTCACTCCTAGATAATAAGCCTGAGAACCAAGTGCTGCACCAACTCAAGGCCATACCCGCCTGCTATAGCAACATCATCTATGCAGACTAAAATGTTATTACTGTTTTGCTGACATGTTTTGGCATTTGAACAATAACCACCTGTATATTAATTAACGAGCTGTTACTTTGCAATGGGCGGAGATATTATGTAATCTTTAGTAGTTCTATTGGCTTATGTGCTCATTTCGTCTTGCTGCTAGACCTATCAAATCATTTTTCCTCCATACACCTGCTGACTATATAACCTATTGTATTGTGTTAATTAACCAGTGTTCACCAGGGTAA